CCAGTATTTTGCTGCTGCTGTCGCCCTTGGTGCTGCTCTTCATCATATTCCTACCGAATTTCCCGATACTGTTGCTAAGAAGAATGTGCTACATTCCCATCGAATCAATTTGACAAGCTGAATCGTCAATTAAGTTCGCTTCTTAGAGATCGTATCTCTTTAACTTCTACTTAAACTTCTATGTTCAAAAACTTCATGAGATTTCACGGTGTAAACAGATTGGTAAGTCGATGCTTGAATTGTTGAAGATATCGTTGGATTCGGAAATTCCAACCAAAGAAAAGATACACGACAGTCTTTGACAATTCAGTACGAGCACAGAGTTTAGTTTTACGACTGTAAGTTTCGAGTATTTACAGCGATATTGTAGATCGAAGAAAGTTACGAAATCCTCTGATAGATGTGATCTGCGTGAAGGTATGATACTTGGAACAATTACCGAAACTTCGTTTATAACACGTATTTCTTGCACGTCGTTTAGCCAAATTAAAAGTACTTAAAGTAAGACTAATAATTTGTCATGTACTTTAACGTCGAGGCATTTTAATTAACTTCCTAGTGTTGTATTTAGGTATATCAGTTTATCAGGGCCATTTTATAAGACTCAATGCATTTTGGAATTACTAAGGAATTATTCACAATTGATTCAAAATTATAAAAAAAATTCTATATCCAAACTGTGAACTATCTTTATTTATTTACGAATCGAGGTTTGCACACAATTCGTTTGTCCGGCCAGTTCTTCTCCTGTCTCGATTCTTTCGCTGTTGCTGTTGCCAAGATTTCGCCATGGTTGTCGCGAGCGGAACGGGCATCACCGACATGTAAAACCGATATAACGGGAACGGTGTTTCGCAAAGCGCGAGCTGCACGAAAATTTCACGAGTAATCCACGCGTTTTTGAACCCGGTAACAGTAGCGTCGTTTGATTCTTACGTCAGTGAGCTGGTTTATCCGTTCGTCTCGTGCACAGCCGAGCATGTTTGTACGCAAACATCTGGCCGACAACGCGAGCATCAAGCAGCTTCAAACACATGCTATTTTTCTTAATTGAAAGCTGGATTAATAATTTCATTATTTTTTTTTTGTATCAAATTCTCTCTGTTCAATTAAAAATATTCAGCCATTATCTTTTGTACCAGTCTCTCTGTGTAATCTTTACCTATAAGGTGCCAAAATTTAGAAGGCATATTAGATTGTTGTCAAGAGTTCACAGCGTAGTCGTAGATTATGAATATTTTCTGATAGATTTTACCAGGATTAAAATAAACTATTTGATCGCGATTTTTATTAAAATTATTTTGAAAAATGGAGAAAGTGATAGGATATTTTAACTATTAAGGATGTTTCATTCGGTTTCTTCAAATGTTAGTTTTTTAACTCCTTTAATTTTTCCTTCGTCAATGAGACTATTATATAAACGAGAATATGTGTTATTGAACATTCATCATTAATCTTGCTAATTATTTGGCTTTTTTTCCTTTTCTACTTTGGCGAGCGAATCGAGGTCAAATTACTTTTATTTTTCATTCATTATAAATGCTACTTGCGGTTGATTCGAGATTGAATGATTAGTGCGTGTCAATTCGACAGTGATTTCGTGACACACGAACGTGTACGGTTACTGTTACCGATTGGTATCTATGTTGCGTTAAATCGACAATCGATATATATATATATATATATATATATATCAAACAACGTTCGAGGTCCTCAAGTTTGTTTCTTTTTTTCGTTTTTTGAAACGTTCTAATTTATGAGTTGTTTCCTGACGAATGACACATGAAATACCAATATTATTTCTAACTATTGCGTTTGTTAAAAGAAAAATTCAAGCTGTAATATTTGCACGAACACAATCAGTGATTCAGTTGGTAGGTGTTCGGTATGCAAATATGACCGCATCTTTTCTATATGGGTCGTGTTTGGACTTTGTATTATTCTAGTAATTACTACTTTGCCGGTTCTCCTTGCAAGAAATAATGTTCTTTCTGTGGTACAAAGTTATGTAGATATATTACTGCTGGCATTTTTGTTACCAGTATCTATCATTTTTTAAATACGATTTCTGCGATCTTCCATTTATCGAATGATTAAATATATTGACAATAATATTTCCATTATTCGTAATTAAATTTTCTAAGTTTCCACGTATCGAGAAAATTCTCTAAATTTTGAGACATTTTTAACATTCAGATTTTCATAGTTTCGAGCTTTCGAACATTTGAATCTCTAAACTTCCAAATCTTCAAAGTTTTCAAAAATATTTAAACACACAAATTTCCACCTTCTGAAAACTTCAACCTGAAATTTTCAAATTCTCAAACATTCAAACATTCGAAAGAATTTGTAAGGAATTTCGTTCATTTCGAGCGCGTTTAAAAAACGCTCCGCCTTCGATGCACGTCACGTCCACCGCTGCAGTTCGTCCATCGATCGTGCATCGCTATCCTGGGCACGGTAAATGCCTGTCTTTCTGCAGTTCCCCGGTTGACGGAGACGGGCCTGATGTTGAACATTACAGTACCGATCGTGGAGTACTTTCGCTAAATGGCGTGTAGTGGGGGAGGTAGGACTTGAACCCTGAGACCCCATGGGCAATATATACTACGGTTCCATGCAGCTCTCATGCTACTTAGTGACAGCTTCTCGACGATCCTTGCTGTTCTACAGGGAAGGTAGACCAAGAGGGAACTTGATCGAACGAAAGGTGAGCTGAGTTGTTAATTTTATTTTATCGATGCTCTTTGACTCCGTCTCTGATCTATGAAATATGCAAAAATCTGATCCTTTTTCTTTACGATTGATTGGAGTCACGGTACCGGTATTCTGTGCATTTCATTAGAATAAATTTCTTTATAAAAAAAATTCTCGTACACTCGTCCTAGCTGCTGCAAATCGTTGAATTCAATTATTAATTTTCCAAAGTATTGAATTTATCTGAAACTTTACGTGGCGCAAGAATTTCACTAGGCGCGACAACTCGATTGTGGGTATACACCTACGAAGGAAACAATCGAGATTCTATTCTGTGCACGTGTAACTCGCCTCTTTTGTATGCGCTCGTTCGAGCAAGCACACGCGAGATCCTTATCCTATATGCTGTCGGCTATTCGTCGAGAAACAATGCCCATCTGGTTAAATCGGTTAAATCGTGCGGTTAAAAAATAGTGGAGCAGTTTTGCTTGTCCAAAAATTCGAACTAATTTTAGAAACTTACAAGTGTACAATTTTTCTTTACGTTTATAAACTAGAGTTTGTTCGAATATCATTATCGTCATATCGCGAGGAAATTAATAACGGCATCGCGTAGTAATCCAACAGTCCCGCATAGCTTTGTTCTTGCATCAACGGTTGATAATTGCAACTGTCTCGTACGTCACTTCCAGGTTGCTTTATCGTACATATACACACGCGTGTTTGCGCTAGATTTATCGGTGCCGTGCCTGAACAGGGATTTTGAACTATATCATTTTCTCTGTCGTGACATGACAGTTTACGCGACTTAGTATCCGTCTCGATTATACCGTTGCTACAAGCTCGTCTGTTAGCGTTGTCTCACGCTAAACATTTACTTCCAATTACTCTGATTCTCTCCTTATCACTTTCAGATGAATCTACTCGTCGCCTTCGCGTTGATAACCTTAGCTTCCGGCGATCCAGGATTGCTCAGGGTCCCTAAAGTGTACAACGCCGTGATCACAACTAATCAAAACTTGTCGCCGTCCAGAGCGTTTCCAGTGATTCAACCGGTGATCCATCGAACAGCGGTTGGTTACGGTTTGCCACCGGTTTATTACACGCCTCAAGTGGCGCCGAATCTCGCTGCAGGACCGGAAGTGCCGCGCGTTCCACAGAACCCGTTGAAATCGAACAGTCAGCCGGATATTCAAGCCAGTGTCGAACAATCGAAACCAATTGGCGCGAACGACAAGCCAGAAGCGAAGAATCCAGATCCAGAGGAGGATAAAGACCCGAAGTCTGGATCTAAGAGCAAAAGCCGGGAGCAAGAACCACTGAGCTTCTATCCCAACTATCAGTCATTATACTACGATCCCTATTTCTACACGTACAATGGATTCAATCCTCATCTAGTTCCAGGAACTTACTACGTTGACTATCAACCATACGGCACTTTAGAACCAATTGCAGCAACCACACCGAAGAACGGATTGTCCGAACGTCTGCTTCCAGCCTATCAGGAGGAGAAGAAACTCGCCGCGAACGAACAGAAGGAGAAAATACCGGACGTACCGCCGCCACCTCTTCCGACAGCTGTGCCGAAAAGTTCTTGAATTAGATACGATCCTTTGAGTTTATTCGTCGCTATGATCAGACTGATTATCTCACAGCATTTGTCGTAGAAAAGGAAGCCGCCTGTTCAACGACGAGCGAGAGATCAATCCTTGGACTGAATTTTCAACTCGTTCCTTTTACTATGAATCGACGACAGAGACAAATTTCTCGCCAGTGATTTTCCGTTTGTTGACCGATCGAAAATCGCATTGAAGATCTCTATAAATTGGAAAGTATGAAGAGAAGGGAGAATGCTACGAATACTACTTTCTTAGATTTATCTTTTATTAGAATTTACTGTTTATTCGTGTTATCTTCTTGCGATGAACGAGCTTGTACAAACAAGTCATTTGGTTCTTGGTAATTGGACATTCATACGTTTTGCGTCTGGGATATTTAACTTTTCTAAAATGTTATATCACAATAAAGGCGCATAATGAGAGCGAACTTTTTATTTTCTAGTATTATTTCGTCGTCTATGTTACTCGACATTTCTTCATCGACGATATTCGTCTTATTTTCATCATTTAGAAGTAGAAACGTCGGTCTCAATATAGTCTGGCGACTACGTCGCATTAAATTAGTAAAAAGTGGAGTTAGTCAATTAGGTTTTTAAGAAGGCAGTGAGACGAATGAATTGGGCGGTAGGTGGATATTATATGGGTATATGTACTACTGCATATATATTACTGCGCTTGTTTGGTTCAGACGCAAGTGTTAAACACTTTGTTGACGGCCCACACCTTCACGGACAATGATAATTCCCCCTCGTTTATGCCTTTGACTCTAAGCTTCACGGTGCTGAAGCTGCCGTCCTGTCTGCGATTCGCTTCCCAGGTTACCTCGCCACGGTTATTGTTCAATGGCACCACTCTGATGCACGTGACGCAATATGGTCCCTCCACCGATGTCGTCAAGTCCACCTCGGATAGTAACGATTTGTGCACAGCGATAATTAGATTATGCTGATACACTAATTTACCTGAACAAGTACCATATTTCAACGTATCGCTCCTCCTGTCGTCCTGAACATATTTTTTATTTTTTTTTTTTTATCGTTTAATTAGATAAATTTCTAAAAGTTACCGTAGAACTCCTTTTATTTGAATTTCATTTACTGGAGCAAAATCTTAATCGATCAAGTTCATCGATTCCTCGGACATAATAATTTCTTCGCTTAAAATATTAAATTCTTCTTAGGCGTTGTTTTATATTGTTGAATTTTTCATTAGTAACCAAATACAATTGATTAAATGTAACTTCTCTTTATTCAAATCATTTCATCTAAGTCCGACCTTTTATTGCAAGAAGGAAAGATAACAGCGCGAAAAATTGCTAGAAATTCCTAAAGTTTCTATTGCGTCGTTTGCTTCTAAACGAGTTCAGGTAAATGGAGTTCTATCGTACGATTTTGTAGCTTATTTACGTAGAATAATTAAGCCTGTTAAGTTTAATCTGTTAAGTCTTTGTAGCGTAATATTTGTGTACAATTTTGTTGAATACATGTGTGGTATTACTTACTGCTTCCCAGTCTTCAATATTCTGATTGTTATCTTCTCGATATTCCACGTCGTCCCCTTCCTCGTCATATGAATCCTCGTCGACTTGATCTTGATTCGAACGACTAATACGATTGGCCACAGTCGTCATTTCTGTGACCTGTTCTTGCGTCGTCGTCGTCGTCGTCGTGGAAGTCGCGAAAGTAGTCGTCTCGAGATCGTAACTCGTGCTGTTCACCGCGTTGCCAGTTTCGTTTTGACCCGTATTGTCTGTCTTGATCTTCACGAATAAATTGTTTTTGTCCGTCTCCTTGTCCAAATCGTATCTGTAGATGTATTTAGGAGTGGTGGATACTTTCTTCGCGTATTTTTCGGCTATTTCTCTCTGGCGAGCGTAAAATCTGTCCATAACCGCTTTTCGCTGCGCATAATACTCCGATTTGTCATCCTTGAAATTCCTGGTCACCGCGTAACGTTCCGATCTACTGGTTCGTTCCTCGTTGTTCGTGAAATAGCTCACGTGACGCGGATTGATCCTTTTCCTCGCGAACTCGTCACCGTTAGGATCGCTCGACAGTTCTTTGTTCGTCCATTTCTTGAAACCACTGAGAGTTCGAATCAGCTTCAGCTTCTTGTAGTTTTTCTTCCCATCATCGAGCTCGTTCAGCGTGCTCCCGTTTCTTTTTATTCTGTCCTTGTGCGTTTCGTCGCTTTCGTCCACGATCGAGCAATGCTCTCCGTCGTGACACTTCTTGAAAATTGGTTTGATCCTCGTTTCCTTCAGCTTCTTCCCCTTCCCCTTAACGTCGTACGTCTTCAATCTCTGATAATCTTCCTTCTTGATCCTCGTTTCGTTCAAGGCGGACGTCTCGATTATGACGAGGAGCGTCAGCGTCAGAACACCGGCCAGCCAAACAAATTTCACAGTCATATTCACGATCGATGCGCACGATCCCAGTGTCGACGAAGCAAGTGAAGGAATTCAAAGAGCATAACCGCATCTTTGACCTCGGATTATCTATCGTTTGCGGGGTGAGAGACCTCGTTATTGGACGTGCGATTGTTTCGCTCGTTTAAAAATTACGCGTTTAAATTATAGCAGCGTATATATATTTATAAGATTTATCGCGAGTCGAAGAAAACAGACTAATTGCTCGTCTTCTGAAGAGAGTAGCCTACGATCGAGGTAATAATAGAATATGTTATCTCTTATTGCATTATCTTGTCGTATTGATACGATTAAAGCTCTCAACATTTAAGTAGCTATTTTAATAAACATATGCTATCGGTCAACAATTATATTTAAATTACACATTTAGTAATTATATTTGAAATTATTATTCTACAGAATGAAAGGATTTGACTCTATGATTCATTCTGAATTTCGCTCGTTTATTTCATTTGCATTGATGACAATACGTTCTCAATTTATACGGAAAATGTCACGATGTCAAGTCACGATATGCAAATGATAGTGCATTCATTCCAACGACCCTTGGCACTTAAACGGTTAAGAACTCGGACATTTATTATCACAAAGTTCATAATTTTCTCTAATAATAAACGTTGTGAGATTGAACTTTCGAACGTGTATAACTTACTTTTTCAAATGACAATCGATACTGCGAAATAACTAACGGGACTATGTTGACGACGGATTATAAAATGTTAAATAACAGTTACCTTAGCACTCTGTGATCTAAACGTGAGTTTAAAACGCACTTTTACAAAAATTATTTGGTAAAAATTTGCCGAAAGTGAAACGTTGGCAGCGTTAATTATTTCAGATTAATAATGAAATTAGTAGAATATTCGATATATTTGGGAAAATGACACGAAATTTTTGATTGGACTGGTGTAAATAGATCTCAGAGTCTCCAAGTACATTAAATTTTCAAATGAACATGTAAGGACGGGATAGGAAACGATGTAAATGTTTTATTCAATAATTAGCATCGATCCGTGATAAATGTGAGGCAGTTTATATCGTTTCAATGGTAATGCTGTCATCGTCGGTATTTTCCTTGTTTCTGTTCGATTTTTTCGTTTCCTTTTCTGGTTCGACCTTTGTGTCCAGCTTCTCGATGGCATCCTCGCTGCTTTCATCGGCTGGTTTCACAGTGGTTGTCGATGGCGGGCTTGATTTTGGTGGCCCTCCCGGTTGAATCGGTTTTAACAGTGGATAGTACTATGAAAAATAAAATTACCATTTTTCTTTATAATATTTAACGTCGTTGAAAATATTGATTTTCTATATGGTGAGATTAAAATCTCGGACAGCGAAATAATTTCTCACCGTGTTCAGTGGAATCCGGAAATCATATGCAGGGGTGCCATAGTAGATGTTATAGGCAGGCAAATGAGGGATCGAAGGTTTTCCATAGGCGATGACAGCAGCTGGAATCGCGTTTACATCTACGGCCACCTGAGGAATACAAAAAAATGGCGGGGAAGAGAATGCATAAAGAAACTAAACCTAAACAACAATTTTGTTCCATTCATTAACATGCGAAACTTTTGTGCGAAATTCAAAGATTTTCCCTATGGGAATATTTAATTCTTTATAGAATATTTAACTTTTTATAATTTTCAATTTTCACAATATTATCTATGTTATCTAAAATCTTTTTATCGATGATATTTAACTTAATTTAATCATTCGAAGGCGAATTTATGATAATTAACGTGTTAAATACCGAGTGATTATTCTTTGTATTTCTGAGTTCCCATAAATATAAGTAATTATCTGTGAATTTTATCTAGGTAATTAATAGTGATTAATAGTAACATGCGTAAATGCGTAAAATATCTAAAGTAAAGTTCATCTAGATTCAGTTTCTGCAGTGCATTCATAAAAATGTGAAATTGCATGAGGAACCGCGGTTTGTTCATAATGTTTCGATAGACACGTTACATTGTGGTGGTAAAACGGAGAGTTCTGGTACTGAAGAAGTTGCGGATGCACATTGATTACTTCAGAAGGATTCTGATGACCGCTCACGTACAAGTTCAGCCCGATCGGTTTCGACTCTATCGATACGACCAGGATCACAGCGAAGGCAAGCAACGTGGCGTAGACCTTGAACAATAATTACAGAAAATTGTGACGAGTTTAATTAAAACGAACGTTAGACTTTTGCATATATCGACTGTGATGTGACACGAGAAACAATGCGGTAGCTAGCCGATGATGGTTGCCTGCGTCGAATAAAGAAGCAGCTCTCTCGATCGATGTTTTTGATATCAAGCGTTGGCTCGATGCGCAGTATCGCGTGGCTCCGCATATCAATGATACTAATTCGCGGAAACAGATCTTTTTATGGAGATGTAACGGTTGTTCGATGAACAATGCTCGTGCCTCGTGAATTATTTAGAAAAACGGCCGATCTTTTTTCCCTTTCTTTCCTTGCCAGTATATTAAAATTTATTGTTCACTCTTTTAAATTTATCTGATCAAAAAGAAAGAAGTATATATATCGAATCAAATATATGTCTCGTTTATAGATGTTTGTCAAGTTTATTAGGAATATAAAAAGCTGTTCGCGATAGAAATTTGCAAAAGCAAGATTTCTTCGCGAAATTGAAGAAATGATATTCGATCACAAGTGGACTCACCTGCATGGTGTGATCACAGCTTCGGCGATAGGCTCGCAAAGAATCTGTACTAACCTGAATTTCAGCCCTGCCCGCGATTTATATATTCCTCGTAGAGAGCAAACTCCCCCACCCTGTCGAATATCATCCGTGATTGTTTTTTTCTTTTGCTCCTACGCATAGTTCTTCTGCCGTTTCCTCTCGGTCCTCCGTCACGATCAACGGGATATTCTTGCTCGTGATTCTTTTCCCCGACGTTCATAACGATCGACATGTTTTCGATCTCTGCTGTCGAGGATTCACTATAAATTATAAACTATAAACGATTTTTGTCGATCTATCGAATAAATCAGAGCGAGTGAACTTCGACAACGTTTCATCTTTGACGAAATGATTCTGATAAAAACCTGTGTATACTTTACCGAAGCTACGAAACTGCGTGTCGCGATTGATAACAGCAAGGCTTTATATTATTTTCGGATGAGTTACAACGCCAGGTTTATTTATTGATTCGACCAGAATAACTGAGACGAGATCGTGGAGGGATATAGGCAGACACGAACCGGTTCACGTTGGCAAATTGTTGTTTAGAATATGAATGAAGGGTGTGGCCCGACGACTTTGACACCCCAATCTACATTTCTAATGTCCTCCTGTTGGCGTCACCGCGTTCCATTTCGCCCATTTCCATCGATCGTTGCACGTAGTTCCGAAGTATTTTTTTTTT